CATATTTTTGGACATTCTTAAAAACTGATGAGCCTTTTATGCTGTGCAGTCAAACCATAGTTCAGGGTTACGCACTCTTTTTCTTTGTTCGTGAGGAAGTTGTGCAGAATATAAAACAAGAGTTCGTGTAATGTGTTTTGAAACAAAACCTCTTGATTTGCACTCCACCTTCTCGCTGCAGAGGCGGGTTAAAAACTACATTTTTAATCAAAAAAATTATTCCACAACTCCCCCGTTAAGAGCTGCACAGCTTTATGGAAGTTATTTGAGATTCATTCAGAGAGAGAGAGAAAAAAGGTCAATTTATGCGAGTCTGTTTTTGTGAAAAATACCATCTTTACTGTTTATAGGCTCACAAGACAGTTTCAGTTTGCTCCCTTGGGCTTCAGACGAATACTTCCAGTTTCTTTGGTTAATTATTCATGCGGATGTGATTCCAAATGCTGAATGCTGTGTATTTTTCTCCTGCTTCTCCTCATTGTTTGCAAGTTCGGTCTGAAATGCACGAATATTCTAATTGCATCTGAGTGCACAATGTTTGTATTTATCACCTTCAGTGTCGAACCACACATGCGACTTATGGCTTTCTATTCCTATGTGAGTTCTTTTTGAAATATCATGTAGGGTTTAAAGCCATTGGATGCACAGTGGACTATCAACTGAGGAGATCTTTTGGGATTTAATATGTTTTAAAATTACCGTTAATATGAATTTTCATTATCTGCATATTTTGGTACGTTAAAATAATTCCAAGTTCACATATTTAGGTATATCTATGATTTGGCCTCCTTTAAGATTAATTGGATTTTGTGGTATTTTATTTTGACCAGAAAATAAAATGTACAGAACGTGTATGCAGAGAGACTGGACAGATTTCTATGAAAGTAACTGCTTCTCAAAGATGTATTTCATTTAATGACTGTGAGACATTCTTGCCATTTAGCGTTTTAAAATGCAATTTCTTGACTTTTTCAGTCTGCCCTGTTGATTACCTTGCAGTCCATTGTGGCCAAATTAGACTGTTTCCAATTCAGTGCCTCAGGAAATGACACACATCTAGTTCCACCCAGGGTTAATTAAAGTTTGCGTTGCATCATTATGCTCAGAATATAGTGATACCACATGCTGCTGCTGATGATACAAGAGCTAGTCTCTAAAACTATTGACAAAATTATATAGAGTGCTTTATAAAGTATTCATACCTCTTGAATGTTTTAGCAAGCAACAATATCAATGTATTTTCTGGGGCTCATGTGTGATCTGTCACTAGCAAGTAGTGTACAAATGCGACATGGAAAAAAACCAAATATAAAATTGTTTTGACAATCTGAAAAGTTTGGTCTTTTAGTCTTCTTATGTGTTTACTGACTTTGTAGCAGCCTGAATTTTTGGTCTTTTCTTTTTTTTTTTGCAACATAACAATCTCATTCCGATTAAATGGAAATCATATATGAACATCAATTTTCAGGTTTTGCCGCAAATTCACGATAACATTTTGTCTAGACTTTGAGGGATTCTAGCATATAAATACTGATTTGATTCGATCTAAACTATTTTGCAGCGGCTCTTTTTTACGTGTTTAGAATAATTTCCTGCTGGATGATGAATTTCTGTTTTTTGCAGCCAGTTTTTCCAGAATTTCTGTTGATCTTCTCATCAACTCAGAACAGCTCAGCAGTCCCTGCTGAATTACAGCCTCTTCACAGCAGCTGCCTCCACCATGTTTGGCTGTGGGGATGTGTATTCAGGAGGCGCAGTGTTATTTTTCCACCGCACAGAGTGGTGGCAAAGCCAAAACCCAAATTTCTCATATCTGTGGACCTCCACAGAGTTATCATGGGCCTTCTCTGATTAATACTCTGCAGTCCAGGCCTGTCAGTTTAGGTGATTGACCACATCTTGATATGTTTGCAGTCGTGCCATACTGATTCAGGAATGCATTTTTTTTTTTTACTAAACACTGCTTTAAACTTCTCTACAACCTTATACTTAACCTGCTTTTTTTTGCGATTTCTTTTTTTGTTTTTTGTTTTCTTTTTGCTTTTTTTTTTTACAAATAAAAATCTTTACACATTAAGTGGAAAAAATCTTCAGATTTTTATTTGTAAGATAAACTGAAACCTGTGTATTGTTTTCATTGCATTTGTTTTGGTCTAGCACACAAAATTCCAATAAAATATTTTAAAATGTATGGTTTATGTTTTGGTTGCAATTTCCAGAAAATTTCCAGAAAAACTTGCAAGAGTTGTGAAAACTTCTGCAAGACTCACATAATTTGGAGTAACCGAACATGAGCTGCCACAGCTGCAGGGTTGATTGAATAGAGAAACAATTTTAAAAAATGGCAAATAAAAAGGTTTAACAGTAATCTCATACTTGTGTAAGTACATCAAAACATAAGAATCTCTGCTACCAAGCAGTAGTGTCATTACAGATCTACATAAAAAGTTAATCAAAAAGCTGGAGCAGATCCAGAAGACTGCTGCTCACATTTTCACTAAAACTAGGAAAATGGAGCAAATCACCCCAGGTCTAAAGTCCTTCCACTAGCTCAAAAATAGACTTTAAAATACCTTTGTTAGTTTAGAAGACACTGAATGGCTTAGCACCAACATAAAGACCTGTTGTTGTTGTATCACTCAGGTCTTCAGGTTCAAGTATTCTGCATCCCCAGAACCAGAATCAAGCGTGGAGAAGCAGCAATCAGTTTTTATAGCATTTTAATCTGGAATGAACTCCCAGAAAACTGCAAAACAGCTGAAACACTGAGTTCCTGTGCATCAAGGCTAAACACCTATTTGCTTAGACCTGCCTTGGATTATTAATAACTGGAAAATAGATTCATTCTGGACTGGATTGCCACTGTTTATTACTGCTCCCTATTCTGCAATGTAATATTACATTACAGTGTTAATTTTGTTATGTTTTTTCACATTAAACAGATTTGACCTGCCTAGTCTCAGAAATGTGCTACACAAATAAACTTGATTTGACTTATATTCAAACCAATAAAAAAATGTGCTCAGGACAGATTTGTTCCCTTAAAGCTAGAAAATATCAATACACTGTGTATATTTTGTTCACATCATCCCAGAGACCTAAAATCCATAAACAGATTTTTTTTAAAAGACTTGCCAAAAGCAATGAAACCGGCCAACTGTTGATCAATAATGTTTTCTGATGAGAATGTTTCGACTGCAACTAAGTGCAGAATTTCAATGAGGTGATTTTTTTATGTAAAGATAGTAATTTTAGCTTCAATCAGGCCAGAATAATGTTTTATTATGGTGTAATTTGTTTCACATTACAACATGCAAGACACTGTGACACCAAAAGACAAACCAAATAAATCGTAGGTAAGCATATATTATTCAATGAACACATTCATACTGGCTGCAGGGTTCAGGTCAAGAAAGAGTTCAAGGTTTTGCAACAGCACTGCTGTTAATTTAATTCCAATTAAATAGTTGTGTGAGGATTTTTTGTATGCATTGTAGAATATCAGCCTAAAGGAATATTGATTCTGAAAACAGACTGTTAACCTCCCAGTCGTCAACGCTTAATTTCATCCTGTGATTAGCTTGTTTGAAAATGGATCTAAATTAGACTGAACTCCCACATATCAAACTAAAACATACTATTATTATGCCCATTGTCAGAGAGAGCAATAAAAAAATGCGCTCAACAATTTAACCTTAATAAAGATTTGCATAATTAAATGTAACACTGAATCACATTAAGTGGAAAAAAATATCTCCTTGCTATAGATTTAACACATCTCATCACAGAATTATCTGTACTTTTTAGTAACATTATGATGCCCCTCAATTTCCAGATATACTATTTAACTAATGTTAAAAGGTTCAAGGATTCTCTTGCAAAAGCAATTTTTAATCTCAGTGGGATGTTCTTGGTAAAATAAAGGTTAAATAAAAATATAGAATCATCTTGATTTGGTATCCAGTGGCCTGATGAGTAAAGGGACTGATTACATTTTAAAACCTTGTAGTGTACATTTATAATAGATTGATCGATTGCTGTTTTGGTCAGTATTGGGTCATTAGCAGTGGCTCAACCTCTTCAAAAAAACAGCACTCTAAATAAGTGTGATGCAACTTTTCTGAAATGAGATTGAAAATATTTAAACAAATGTCTCAAATCTTTAATTATAGATGTCTTTCATTAGTAGCCTTCAACTTCCTGGGACAAAGTAGCATTTAAAACAGACGTGTGTATTAAATTTGACCCAAACATTTTTTTGTGTAGTTGACATTGTGAAAACTCAAGAGTCCCTTTGTGTTTCAATAAATTATGCGTTCATTTTAGTGTTTTTTTTTCCATTTTGTTTTTTGTAAAAGCTACTAGTTTCTACAACAGAGGGTCAGTTCTTATAAAATAAGATGGCTGCTAGAAAGAGATTTTACTTTGATTGTATCTGTTTATTTGGATTTAGCAGAAACTTGAGCCCCACTTTGGTTTATTTCCATTTTAATCACTGCCTACATGCTAGTTTTGCAGATTTCATGTGGATAAGCATCTGGCTGGTAGCAACCTCCAAGAAACACACTGTATCTTGATTGCTGATTTACACAATACATTTGCTACTTTCCAGACAGTTTTGAATAAATTATTTGTTTTTCATCTGTTTGCATGGGGTATAATAGGAAAGGTCACATTTTCTTTGTGAATTATATCAGGGCACAACTTTGGTAAAAATGCATCAGCACACATCAGGAATATTACAAAGGCAACAGCAAACAGAACGTTGGTCAAACCTGGAAGCTCAATGTATTCAAAATAGAAGTAAAACACCTAAAACAGTAGAATGAGGTGAGGTAAACATGTCAGCAATGAAACTTTACATAGATAAGAAAATCAAAATCAAAAAGTTATTAACTTTTACAAAGGCCAAAGTTCACCTAACCATCTTTAAAATCATATGGAATTGCGGTTATAAGATTTACAAATCCTATTTACTGTTTACAGTGCAAAAATGTTGGAGTACAATTAGAAAACAATGCAGATTGGGTTTACGCCACAGTCTGTGACTCTTCTCCAGTGTGAAAACGTTTAATATTGGCGGGCCCACATACTGTCTGTTAGACCAAATGAAATCTTAGAATTTTAAAGCTTACTTTTATCATTGTTCTTGAGATTTCCTGTTTCTGATGAAGTCATAAAATAATATTTTAGTATGTAACTTTTCTAATCACAATAAGCAGTAGCAGTCGAATGAAATGCTTTTCTTGGTAAAACATGTTTGCAGATGTTGCTATGAATAGTTCATCTCTCCAGTTTTGTGGGAGCAGCCGCCATATTAGATATTGATTTTAGAGTTGCTTAGGCTCTAACTTGGAAAGTTGGATGTCTGGTTTCAGGAAAACAGTTTAATTAAGTTATTTTTATTGGAATAAATAAGCCACACCTCCCTTTGTTGTTGTAGTTCTAGCTAATCCTTCTAGCTTCTTTTGTTGCAATATTGAACCATTAAATTCAAAAGTACCCATAAGCACCTTTGGCTAGGCCTGTGAGGTTAGAACTAGTTTGCCTGCTGTCAATCAAGTCTCCACCCGCAGCTGTTCCCAATCCAGAGCGCGAATCAGGCTTTTGCAGCGGGTTTCCTCAGAGCAGCTCTGCCCGGTGCACCCACAGCTTCAGACGTTTTAGATTTAGATTTTATTCCTGTCGTTGCTCCTGTGACATGTCATTTGTCGAGGACCCCGCTTGCCTCTCCAAATCTCGCCTGGAGTCAGATTTAGTTGCTCACAATGTGGAGCTGCCACCTGCAGGGAGCAACAAGGAGGCTTATGTGGCTCTGCACCTGAGACACGTGGACCAGACCAATGCTGCGGATTTCTCCAGTGATGATGATCAGGAGCACAATGTGGCAGTGAGTCTATCGATTTATAGCCTTTATTTTTATTTTTTTCAAAAGTGGCATTACGCACAAAAACGGAAAACGGACCAACAAAAGAGTGGCTTTTTTTCTATCTTGGCGCCAGATAGAAACCCCGAAATGACAAAATGTTGGACTGATAAATAAGTTTACTGACGGAGGAGTTCTGGGCCAAACTCCTCACACGGCCTAAAAGTCCCTTTCCCACCGAGTTCACCAGCTGGAAAGCTATAGTATAGATTTACACTTGCTTCTGTACTTAGCCCAGGCCTCTACAGACATCCACACCTGCCACTTTCAGTTACTTCAGCCAACAACAAAAGCTTCTCTATAGGTTGCTTGAAGAAAGGAAATTATTGCTGTATATTCTCCAGAAGCAATCACATATGGGACCCGGTTTTTCAGAAGGCTTTACAAACTGCTTCAGCATTGCGGTCAATGGCTTCTGTTGATCTGTTTACATTGATTTAGGTTTATTTTGTTTGTTTGTTTTTTTTGAAGCAATGCATTTGGGTGAATTTTGTTCTCATTGCAACAACCAACTTAAAATAGGTGAAGAGCAGGGACAAAAACCTTTATCTGCAAAAGTAACAAAATGCAGAGATATTTTGCTATAATCATGGGAACTTTTTTTTTTTTTTTAAGTTAACTGGCTCTATTGTGACTATCCATTTGCTATGTTTCATCAGTCTGGAAGTAATAACATTTTGGAGTCCCCCTGCCTGACAGGAAAGCAAGTATCTCAGAGACTTGAAGCTCATCACTGGGATGGATATACAGTCAAAAATAATAAAAAAATAAAAAACTATAAATGTACTTAGCAACATTTATGAAAGGTTTTGGTTGTTCTAATATGCCAATAAAGGTCGTATATTAATAATAAGGGTTATCAATGTACAGTCCTTTCACTTTGTTTCATAATGTTGAGAGATTCTTGTCTTCTTTCTAAACAGAAACAATCTTATTGGGAGAATGAAAATAATTCAACATGCTCATTTTCCAGGGGTGTAAATAAATTTGACTTTAACTGTGGATGGTTACAGTTTTGGGCAGGAAGAATCTCCTTCAGTGCTCTGTGTTGCACCTGGTCTACTGGTCTCTGACCAGACACTTTGTTGTGGGAAAACTGTGTTATGTAAAGGCTGCTGTGTGTTGCTTGTAATATTTTCTTTTTTTGGAGCCCAATTAGCTATGGGGGCTCCAGAACAGAGAGAGAGATGTTGTTTTCGGCTATTTTTTTTTTTAAATCTCTGATTCTGCTTTCACAGCAGATGACTGCAGATAAGATTGCACTCCTGCAAAAATTTAAGGACCTTATAAAGGATCTTATTGCTTTTTTTTGAAGGTTCAGAAATGTTTGACCTTGTTTTATCCACTGAACCTTTTAAATCAAACTTCATCTATATGCTAATTGTGCTGTTGCAGTTGCTGCTCCAGTACTGTGGAATAATTTGCAGTTATGCAACAACAACTCTAATATTACAGACTTCAAAGCCATGTCTTAAGATTCATGTGTTCTCAATAGCTTGTCAGCTTTACTTTGTGCTTTTTTTTTGGCATTTTATTAAATTTAATTCTTTCTATATTGCCACTTTATTTTCTACATATTTGTGTTTTCTGTTTTTTGAATAATTTCAGTGCTTTATTTTTGTAAAACCTTTTAAAAAGAAATGTCGCACCAAATAATAAAGCAGTGATGCCTCTATTGCCTCTGTCGGTGTGCCCCAGGGCAGCTGTGGCACCTGTCCAGAAGCTGACCACCATCAGCGTGCGAGTGACTGAATGTTATGTGTATGGCTTTTGGGTTTGTTGGACTTGAAGCGCTATGCAAGGACAGACTATTTACTATTTACCAAATGATCTTCCTATCATAGTTAGCAGTACTTGTATTCCATGGTCTGTGTTTCAGCAGTTATTCATTCTTAAACATCATTCATTTTTGTTGTCTTGCAAAGGGAGAGGATCCAGAAGGAGAAAAGGAGCTTGACCCGAGTGCACTGACGGATGAGGATCTCAAGGCTTTGTTATTCAAATATGGAGTTAAAGCTGGGCCCATTTTAGGTGGGATTGCTTTTGAAAATATCTTGAGAAAATTGGACAAAACTGTGGTATTATTGTAGTTAGTTTCTCCTAAGAATAAATGTATTTTACCGACTGTTCCTCAATCTCAGCCTCCACCAGGGCAGTGTATGAGAAGAAGCTCAGGCACCTTCTTCAGTCTGCTGCAGAGGGGGAATTGAATGAAGCCGAGAATGCTGTGCTCTACTCCGACAGTGACGAGGAAGACGTGAGTGAAGGAAATGAGGACGAGGAGAAAGAATCGGGTAGGACTAAAACTGTGGTGTTTAACCCAGATATTTGTGCTTCATTTCCCACGATAATTATTCCTTTGTGTTTCTTTTGGCTTGCGCCGGTTCAGAGGGAGATCAAGAAAAAAAGTCTGAAACATTGGAGCCGAACCAACAGCAGCGTAAGGAGGTGAGAAACGATTTGGAGTTCTTGTATCCATCTGCTGTTCAATATGTTTACTTTTCCCAGTTTTTGCTAAAACATAAAACAGTGTATTCATAAGGTCAAAGTATCCATAATATGTTTCACTTTGTGATTTGAGTGCATGTTATGAATAAATATTTCTTTGCAGAAAAATGCGCCTCCTCAGAAGTGCGACTTTTCTTATCCACAGTGTTTTGTCTTATCATCAAGACTGGTAATTCCTGCAGATTTACACATCTTTAGTACAATATTCTGTTAAAACTCAGTGTCGAGCGATGGTAAAGGTTTTTTTTTTTTTTTCAGCGTCCTTGTCCTCCTAGAAACAATGAACATAGTTCCAAGAGGAATTCAAAGAATGCATTAAAATCATCAGAGCGAACTCGACCACACCGCTCACAGATTCCTGCAGGAATTAGCAAAGTATCCTCTATAGCTCAACACTCAGGATTAAGATCAGGGGTAGGGTGGTCTCTGTGTTTCTACATTCTTTAAATTTCTTTCTTAGGCTAACACAAGTGTGATATTTTCATTTACTGCTTTATGGCATTGAATTTGAAGCAGCATGTTGATACATAGTAGCATGCTCATATTAACCCTTACAGGTTCCCTCTGGATCTCAGTCAGTGGTGCCCAGTAGTTCCTCATCATTTTCCTCACAGGCTTTCAGCATCACTCAGATGGTTGAAAAGGAAAGTTGTACTTCAAGCCTTATGAATTCACAATTTACATTTTTAAAAATGTAAATGTTCATGTCTCTGTATTTACTCAACACACACTCCCACTGCAAACTAATAAAAAAAAAAAAAAACAGATGGAGAATCGGAGCGCACCCCCTGCTTGCTCCCACAGTGAGCCGGAACATTGGTCCCGCTCCAGCAGGGTCAGTAGTGGTCAGATTGTTCAGTCACACTTTAACTTTAGCTTGGTGCTGGTTGAAGGGTTTTTAGAAGTGCACTTGTGGTGGAAGGAAATTGAGAATACAAAGGTCTAGTGAGTCATGGTCCTGTGTCTCCTCCTCTGTAGCTTGACAATGACATTGAAGAAGGGGACATAATCATGGGACAGTCGGTGTACTACACTCCCAAGGACTCCACTTCTGTAAAGGAAATCAAGGCATATGCACCCTTTTGGTTTAATTCAATTATCAATAATGTCACTGATGTCTTGGAGTTTCAAATTTTCTGTGTGAAATGTAACCTGCTGTTCAAATGATTCACTCTAATCAGACCACTTCAAAACCAAGTTTTATAAGTTTGAATAATTTTCAGGCTCTCAGGTTAGTTAGAAATGGAAGTAATGCTGCCTATTTTTTATTGATGAGAACTAAAGCTGCAGCCATTTAAACGGGATAACATAAAATCACACATAGCTTTAGCATAAAACAACTTTATTCACTTAAAGTCAATTTTTGGTGCTTGATTTTAGAACAAAAATGTCCTGAAGACAAAATTATGTCTCGTGCTATTGGGTTCCAAACCCAATAGGAACATCTGGTGACAGAAGAAAATTGATTTTATTCAAAATGTACTTCCAAATAAAGGTCACTTATGCCGCACTCAAAAGGTGTGGCATAATTTCTATTCAACCTCCACAGGCAGACTTTGGTAGAAACACCTTTTTCTACCAGCCTTGAGCAACTAGAGATTGAATATCAACTTTTCTTAGGGTCATTGTCCTATTTCAAGGTGACCTTATGTCTGTCTCAAGAGTTCTAGACCCTCTAACACAAAGTTATCAAACTCCAGTTCTTGAAGGCCTGAAACTATTAGCTGTGTCCCTGGAATCAAATGCCTGAATTGGCTCCCTGGCATGCCAATTGAAAATCTGAAGAGTCTCGTTAATAACTTATTTGATTTGTGAATGTTGAAGTAGAGATGCAACTAAAACCAATACTGTACTTGGATTTTATATGTAAAAAAAACAAAAAAAACAGTCAATTGGTATCCTGAAAGGGACTTTACATCTCTAAGTGAAACTTTGCGTTTAAGGAAAACAGCATTGATTTCAGTGCTTTATTGTAGGATTTTTACTCCAAAAAGTATTAAAATTGAGGACCTACTGTGTTGAGTAGTACCAGTACTGCTGTTTAAGATTTCTGTCCAAGCAGTCATTTTCCCACCCCTCAGTTATTTAGGTGAATGAAGAATCACACAGTGACCCTTATTACTGTGATTTCCTTCTCTTTGCTCTCCACACTGTGCTTTTCTTTTCTTCACTTCTGGTGGATTGGCTACTCTGCTGCACAGAAAGAATATGTCTCGTTCTGATCTGAACTGATAGTAGTTTTGCCTTCACTGTTCTCAGGATCCAGTGAAAGATATTTTAAAGGACCTTCTTCCAGACACAAAGACATCCCCGACAGGGATTTAGTAAGTGTCACAACATCAAAAATGAACATCATAACCTTAAAGTTAGTCTTCACAGCTATTTGTGACATTTGAGTGAACACTAATTGTTTTGGTTTGTGTTAATTAAGACATTTGTGCAGAGCAAGACAATTATTTTTTTGTGTGTTTGGATGGTTTACTAATTAACTTGCTGTTATACTTCAGTGCCACTCCTCGGAGACCCATCAAGGGTGCAGCTCAGCGGCCCATCCAGTATGCATACCCCGACACTCCAGTCAGTCCCACAATCGTGGAGAGACAAGACGTGGCGAGACGTCTTGTACCCGTCTACGTCCAGGTTTTGGTCTTCTTCGCTCTGGTGTGCATCCTTCTCTTGATATTTGTTAATGTTGAGAACACCAACAGTGTGGTAGCCTTGCTGGAAAATGTAAACCAGGGGCCAGACGGTGAAGAGGGAATCCCAGTTCTAGATGAGGCAGCTGGTGGAGATCTTTAACGGTTTTATTTACCAATCTATGTTGACGTAAAGGTGTGAGCTTGCTGATTTAATGGCCAAGACTTGACCATTGTTATTAGTTAAGAATCTGCCAGTCCAGTTCAACATATCTGAATATTTTTGCTTGACTTTAATATTAAAATGCTATTATCACTGTGTTGGCCATTGACAGAACACTTACTTAGGGGAAGGGAAGATTTATTCTTAATTTAAAATTGTAATATGTGTTGCCAATTTAGATTCTTTAATTTGCATTGTATCACTTGTATGTTTTTATACTTGATTGTTCAATAAAATGTATTTTGCTTCATATTGTAATTTTTTAATGAATTGACTTGGAGGGGAAAATCATTTTTAATCACATGAAGATCTAAGACATTAAATATTTCAAAAATTCACCTCTGCATGGTATTTTGTTCAGACACCCTTTGCATACATTTCTGAAGAATTTCTCATTCTGTACATATATTAGTTGAAGAGGTTACAAGGGCAACAAAGTGGACCAACAGGAAATGGAAACCTGCATGCCAAACTTTTCCTGCCACCCATCTCCCCCCCTTTTGTTCACAATCTGTGTATACTGTGTCTAATTTCTAAATACTTATTTATAAATATAATGAAGCGCCTGTTAGAAGGGAGATTTATACCTGTTCGAAAGTATAAACAAGTATTGGTGAAATTTAGTGCATTTCACTAAATTCCTTTATGTGACTTTGTTCCTTGAATTTGTCATTAGAATTTTTTTTGCTTGCTACTTTTTTGTTATGCTTATTGAATATATGGGATGCACCTACAATGATTTTTATATTCTGAAAGTTAAGTTCAATGAAATGAACTAAAAGAATCTCAACACTAAACCCTACTTAGAAGATGAGGGGGAAAGTGCACTTAAAAAGAAATCTCATGTAGTCTACAGAGAGTTTGGATAATTCCCTAATTCACATAAATACTTTTCCTCATTTCTTAGGATTTTAGTCCTCTGAAGTACACCTGTAAAAAGGTTGAAGGCAATAGTGCAAGTCCTGTATCACAGCTTTCCTCAAAGTCTGTCTTTTGATTATGTAATATCTAATTGTTCATAATGAAAGCAATAGCCATTTAGAAAGACAAGCTTTCTGTCCAAAAATGAAAACGTCAGTGTGCATTGAATGTGTATCTCTGTGCATACATGCATTTTACTTTTTTCAATGACTTTGGTTTCATTTCCCTGATTAAAATGTAAATTCTCAAAGCTGTTCAACCTCAATATTTCACATTTCAGTCATCATAGAAGCAGCTTCTCATTCCCTCCAACAAATTACAAATCCTTCTGGACATCCATTAGTTGCTTCCAGACTGTTTTATAACACCATTTGTTTATTCCACATCAGCCAAAATGTGATGGACAATGTTCCGAGTTGAACCGAGTTCCAACTTTGGCCAGCAGATGGCGCTTCAACAAACACTGCTCTGCACGGTTTTTCTTTTAGGATTTCAGTTTTGCAACTTATGCTGCCTGTCACAACAGACACATGGCAATGATGGAAACACAGGTCAAAATATGGACATTTTTAAAGGTCATTATTAGCAGCTTGCTCATTGCAACTTTGGTGTTATTCACTGCGGCGACTATCAGGACTCTTTCTCTGGACGTAAATGTCGGATTACAACTCGCACACTGGGAAAAGTCGAAAAACATTTCACTGGTGATTGACCAGCATCACAGAGAGCAGCTGCTGGGCAACTTTAAAGGTAATTTACGTCCTGCATTAGCTCGGAGACCAACCAAGTCTGTATGGGAGCATGTAGCTAGGTCCTTTAGCAGCCAGTGTGTTTATTTTTCATTCAAACAGAAGCGCTGAGAATCCCCACCGTGTCTTTCTCTGAGACGGAGATCAACGTCACAGCGCTGCGGCAGTTTGACACTTTCCTCCGTAAAGGTACAATATAACAAATAATATGGTTTTCCCCGATGCCCTATAAAACCACCAGGTGCCAAGTCCTTCTTTATTTGACCTCTATTTTTAAAACCGTAGCCGTTTATGCGTCTTAAAAAACTGTTGCTAACTAACTTTGTATGTGTTACACCTACATCCTGCTAACCTGTTTATGTTGTGCTAGCTGCTAACAGGAGCTAACTGTCAGTGCTTGCTAATGTCCTCATTAGCCTCATTAGTTAAACCCACTTTTCTTAGAGGCCTAAATGAACCTTGATTCATTTTTGAATGAGTTAGTGCACATGCTTGTACTAAAAGCAGATAGCACATAGTATATGCAGTTATATCATCTGCTGCTCTGGGTCCACTGTGTTTTTGTCAAATCAGCTGTCAACTGGGAAGTTGGACAGCTTTTCATGCTTTCCTCTGCCAGGCTTCATGGAGTTGCTGATTTTAGTTTCCAGCCGGACTTGGCATCTGCATTCACTTCCTAAAGTACGAATGCCTCCTTTAATGACCATGATATTATTGCACTTGATTATCCAGCTAACATTCCTGATCCTATATCAGGATCCTATATATTGGATATTGTCAAGGTAAAGATGAGAGATACCAAACCCAACCATGCAGACAGACTGTAGGCGACTCATAACCTGACTTGGGCCTCTTCAGCACCATCCACTGTTGCACTGATAGAAAAATTCAGGCAAAAGGAGACCCTGAGCTCTTTGTTCACTGATCTTACATAATATTCCCTTCCTCTGAGAAAAAAAAAATTGGGTTTTCATTTGATTAAAATCAACAACAATGAGGCCTTGTAATGGATCACTCTGTGTGTACAGTTTTACTTTTTAAACTCAATGTCTGAAATAAATTAAATATATGTTTTTCAATTTTGTTTCGGATGCAAATGTGTAGTATTTCAGTTTCATTTAAACAAAATTAGTGAGTGTTTGTAATTAATTTTGTCCTTAATAGGAATTTAAATATTAAACCCTTTAAAATTGTGTCTAGCAAAGCATTTACATCCATAATATTACCTCAGTCTCCCTTGTTGAGAGTGTACTCATCTTTCTTTTTCCAGCCTTCCCCACAGTTTTCTCTTCAAGCGTGGTTCATCATGAGCTGGTGGCTAATTACAGCCACCTGTTTCAGGTGCAGGGATCTCAGCCTCACTTGGTACCGTACCTGCTGCTGGCTCACATTGATGTAGTACCTGCCAAAGAGTCAGAAGGCTGGGAGGCCCCTCCCTTTTCTGCCGAAGAGATAGACGACTTCATCTATGGCAGAGGGACCATAGATGATAAGTGTGCTGTAATGGTAAAGTAAAGATATACTGTGAGAATATTCTGAAACTGCGTCATTAACGTACATCTGCAGGCCAGGCTAAATTCATTATTTTCCATTTTTTCCTATAGGGAATTCTTCAAGCATTGGAATACTTGCTGATTAGGGGCTACGCTCCACGCAGGGGGTTTTACATCGGTTTGGGTCACGACGAAGAAGTATTTTCACTACCCATTACTCGCTATTACGCTTCTCCTTTTTGCTTTTTGAAATCTTCCACTGAGCTCTTACGTTTGTCATTTTTAGGTGAGGGGTTTCCATGGAGCGAAGAACATTGTTCGTGTGATGAAGGAACGTGGCGTGAAGCTGTTGTTTGTCCTTGATGAAGGCCTGGCTATACTTGACGGAGTCATCAGTGGACTTGATGAACCTGCAGCTCTGTGAGAATTTTCCACACTCAGTTTGAGTGTGATATTTATGGTAGAAGCGTTTTTAAGGAAAATGTTTTAGAGGAGAATATGGTGGAAAAAAAAGTAGTTCTTGTAAGAAAATAGTTGATTGAGCTTTCACTGTTTTCACTCAGAAAATTCATAATAAATTGAAGCATATGCATCCACGTTATTTGCAGAATGAGTTTTTTGTTTTTCCATCCTGACAAAAGAATTGTTCAAATGCATCTTTAGGAGTTCAAAATTGACCATAAACTTCTCTCCATCATTGTATCATTTTAACAGAATTGGGGTTAGTGAAAAGGGCTCAGCCAATGTGAAGCTTAGTGTGACTATGGCACCTGGTCACTCATCGATGCCTCCCAGGGAGTCCAGCATTGGGATCTTAGCTGCAGCGGTTAAAAGGTGCGAGGTTTAATTCTTCAGCCTTTTTTTTTTTTGCAATGAAAAATTCTTTGATTATTTTAGATGTGCCACTGCATCTAATTCTAATTGAGTTGAACATATTGTACATTTTTGTGTTATGATATCTGCAGACTTGAAGAAAATCCCATGCCCAGGTTATTTGGCCATGGTCCTGAACGTAAAACCTTTGAACATCTGGCCCACAAGGTAAGAGGAGTCGTAATGTAAACAAAAGATATTCTACATCTCATTCATTTTCTTACAAAATTTCTGCTTTTCTTCAGTTTGGGCTTCCTCTTAAGTTCGTAATGTCAAACTTATGGCTCTTCTCCCCGCTCCTTGGCAGGTAACCACCGCACGTTTCAGTCATATCACATTGTTCTTCACCTCAAATGAACTGCTGGTGTGCTTTTTTTGCAGAGTGTTAGAAAGAAAGCCAGACACAAATGCTTTTGTAAGAACAACCACAGCAGTGACCATGTTCAACGCAGGAGTTAAGGTATAAGAATTGGTTTCTAAACCAGGAATAATTCAGATTTTTGTTTTTCTTTTACTCTAAAGTCAGCATAACCTACATTTCTTTAGATGAACATCATTCCTTCCCTTGCTGAAGCTTATGTAAATCTGCGAATCCACTCTGCGCAAACACTGCAAGAGGTAAGAACAGAAACTATTCTTCTTCCTTGGTATAGCCTAAACTTTTGAGTTGAATGAGCTACGTTTTGTCTCGTCCAGGTCCTGGACTTAATCCACGACACTGTGGGGGACCAGCGAGTGAAAATAGAACTTATTGATGGCTTTGACCCACTTCCCGTCAGCTCCTCTGATGAACGGTCGTTTGGGTTTCAAATCATAAAGAAAACAGTTTTGGACATGTTCCCCACACTTACAGTAGCTCCAGGTACACACAGATATAATGTAGTTCAGCAGTAAAACTTGTGTTTTTCTAGTAAATATTTGGTCTTTATTTTTTTAATGTGCAGGTATTTGTATTGGGAACACAGACAGTCGACATTTCAAAGACCTCACCAATGATATTTATCGCTTTGCTCCAGTTTGGTTCAAACCAGGCGATGCTCAAAGGTAAGGACCTAAAAAAACACTCAGAATAAAAGAAACCTGGTTGCATTTTCTCTTGTGATTATCCTAAAAACATTATATTGATGTGTGTTGATAGTTTAAATCATAACCGTGCGAATAATGTAAAGAGAATTTTAAACATCATTTTGAATTTAACTACACAAAAGAATGCAGAATGAATCTAATAATGAGATTCTGTAATTAACAAGCATGTTTTTGAAATTGTGTTTATTTTTCAGGTTCCATGGTTTGAACGAAAGGATTTCCAAAAAGAACTATGAGGAGCTTGTCGTGTTTTATTTTAATCTTTTTCAAAATTGTGACATTCAAAAACTTCCTGAGCCGCACGCCTCTATTCACGAACTCTAAGGAACGATACTCATTGGTGTTGGAAAGGCGGTGCAGTTTGATAGTGAATGTTAAGAATACAAATGACCTTGTTGCTGTGAAATAATTATGAATCAAGAATGTCAAGAGGAAAAGATAGAGATTATTCGGCAGATTGCTGCCTTAGTCTAAAAAAAGATTATGATTCTTTAGTTCACTGGAAGAACTATTTCATGAGCTGCTGTTAATAGTGTCATAATTTACATTGTAATTTTTGTATTATGCACTGACATGACAAGACTATCAACATATCTCTTTTAATGTGCTTGTGTTTTATCATGTGTTTTTTTTCATTTATCGATAAAATAAATTGCAGTTAAATATCTTTTAATTTACTACAAAGTGCTTCTGTTTTCCCCCCAAATTAAAAGGTTATTAATTTGTTGTTGGAGTTGCGTTGTTCAGTTACAGCAATCACTGTCTTTAGTGTTGTTTATAATGTTTATAGGCTGCTTAAAAATTAAAACCTATTGGAATGAGTTTTCTGATGGCAATTTGTGCCTTGAAAGTTCAACAGAGCTGTGCAAACAGACATATCGACAACCAATAACTCAGGGAAGTTTTATTTTCAAGTTTAGGACACTTTACTGTTGCAACATCCAGATAACAATGTTTAGTGGAAGACCTTTGCCCTCATGGTGGAGCAAGAGCACTACTTTTACACTTCTATCTGTAGTTGCTGCACATTTGGGCAAACTCCATGCTCTATTTGCAGATTAAAAAAAACACTTTTAGAACATGGTGCATACACATGTCACTGTTGATGTTTTCTGTCAAAATCTATAAGCTTGTAGAGATTTGTTGTTATTGTTATTAAGGTTATGTTATGTGTTGGAGAAATTGTGATATTATTAATCAATTATTTGTTATTCTCATTGATCTTTATAATGTATCTTTAATTGATGCTTTCCTTAAAGTTAATCTCATTATAGAATTAAGAATGTTTCTTGTATTGTTGATTTACTCTGATTCCTTTCTCAGAAGGCCTCACTGACAGAGAGCAGAAACAAAATCTTCCTGCAGGTTTACCTCTTGGTGAAGAGCTCTGCTTCGGTTGAGTTGCTGGCCTCCAATAAAACCATCATTGCTAAGATCACTACATATTTTATTAATCTTTGTGCCTGGAAGGACATTATCTAGTACAGAATGATTGTGTGTTAGTTAGTGAATAACATTTGACGCTGTAGCTGTTTGCCCCCTCCCTTTAGAGCTACAGCGTCCTTGTGATTAGGGATCCTAGAAACAATAAAATAGAGGAGCAGACAAAATGTGCTTCAGAGCGGTAGGAGATTGTAACTGAAGCACATCTCTGTCCGTTCTCCTCGCGAGTGAAAAAGAATCTAACTCTTTTGTCTTTTCTGTCTTTGTTAATGTATGTTTAACAGGTGTTAACCCTAACATTATGGTTATAATGTTATGCCCTTAAAATCAAAATATAGAAAGATGGTGAGCCTGACCTGTCTCAAAAAGTGATTTAAAACATACTTCGTGTATTTAGTCAAAACTGTAATTGAAAAAAAACAAACAAAGCAATTGTCAGATGCCTTTGCTTTAATAAACCAGCACTTTAACTGAGATTGAACACTTGAGAAGATGATGAAATTTTCATAATCTAGTGGATAAAAAGACAAAAGTTGTTCTAATGTTGATGAAAATAATTTTTTTGGCCGCGTCATCATGGAAACAAGCATTTTTATTAAGTTCAGTCTTTTAGGTAAGTATCTGTTTTAGTGTTGGATATGTTGTGGGATGTAAACTGATATCTAAACTTGTATTTAATGAAAAATGGGACCTACATTTTTTAGCTTCTTGTATGTATGTGAAGAAACAAATTAAAACTCTTCCTATGTTAATAACCAGTTTATCAACCAAAATGAATGTTTGTCAGTTCTCGGAACAATGAATATGAATTAGATTAAAGTATTGCACAGTCCTCGAAACTTCTTTCACACTGACTAAGAAAATCAAGTCGCACTTTAAAAACAAAGTTCAAACCAACACTGATATAACAATACTGTCTTCATGACTTGAACTAAACATTTACAGCCCTATAAGTCGTCGTACCAACAGAGATTGACATTGTTTGTTTTTCTTTCACCTCAGCATGGCGGTTCCTGCATGTCTTTTGGGAAACTATAGAGGAGCCTTTGATATTAGTTGGCTTGAACAGTTGTGCTTTCTCAAAGTTTTGACTGTGTAGCAGTTGTATGTAATGTCACCCATCTTAGCTGCTGAAGTTTGTGCCAAATTTCTTCTATTTAGTTTTGTTGTTCAATGCCTTAGAGATTTTGTTTGTGTCCATCCCCTGACTAATACTTTTCAATAACCTTTTCTCTGGTTTGCTTAGAGTGTTCTTTAGTCTTGATGTTTTAATGGTGACCAGGAATACTGATTAACCAGGGGATGAGCCTTCAGGACACAGGTGTCTTTATTCTACAATCACTTGAGGCAAACTCCCTGCACTCAGGTTATCTCTCTTCCACTCACCATGAGACTTTTATCACCAACTTATAGGACCCAAGTTGAATTAGGTCAGTCATGTCAAAGGGGGTGAATATTTATGCAGTCTCCTATTTTCTGTTTCACATTCTTATTTAATTATTTTTTAATAGAAACCATATTTCATTTTGATATAAAAGGATTTAGCTCAGCTTAGTTTAGTATAATCATGAGTGATTTATAAAAAGGACAAAAAGAGTGAAACAGCCAAGGCGGGGCCTTTTATAGGCACTGAACTTCTATTAACAAAGTTTATGTTAAAGCATTAAGATGTCTAAGTGTGCGTCTCTGTGTTGTCCTATGATAAACTGCTGACCCTGACTATTGCCCACTGATGCCCACTGGAGAATAGCTCCAGCCTCCCTGCAATGCTGCAAAGACAAGCTGATAAAGAGTACAATGGTGACAGTATTGAATACAATGGCACCACCTATATATACACAGATATATCTATAGATAAAGATGTTGCTTCCTGCTATCTTTACAATCTGTTCAGTCGACTCACAGTAAAGGAATCACATTTCAGGAAAATTGCTTCCTAGTTAATAAATAAATAGTTTAAAATTCTGGAAAATAATAATAAAAAAAAAAAGAAATGTAAAGACATTTCCTTCAGTGTAAAAAAAAAATCCAATTATCATAAAACTGCCATGGAAGATTACTGAATCCAGCTGGCCTTAACATTTATGAGATGTACATTAATTACGTCTCATAAATGTAATTAAGTTTTACAATTAACCGAGGGTAGCAACCTTCATCTTAAATAGTTAAAATTAAGGCAAATGTTCTTCTTACAAGAAAAGATTTCTTCCATATGTTGTTGGAACCTGTTGCTCAACAAGCCGCATCTGGATAAAGATGTGGCTGATCAAGAGACAATGTACCTGATCTTTGCAACTATTCATGCAAATCTGAGACTTTTAATGTACTTTCAATGCAACCTTTAGAGCAACTTTGCATTAAAGATGTCATTATTTACCAAATGACACTTCATGACAACAGACATTCAGAATGACTCCTTCATGTTCACTACAGGTGTTATGCCATATTTATGACAGTATTATGTCAGTCTTATGCACACCCCTTCAAATAAAGTGTTACCGCAAAAACCATATACATGTTGACATAAATGTCTTCATCTTAGTTTTTTTAAATTAATTTTACCATTTTTATTTTGTTATACTATTTTTACTCTGACATACTTTGTGAATGCTGTCTGAGAAAGGTGCTATACAAATATATATTAACTGGATAAAAAACAATATTTCAGGATTTGTCAACAACTGACTTTCCAAATAATAATGTGATATTCACCAAATGCTCATTATATGCAGCGTACATGTCAAATAATAATGCCATACTGCACTGCAACAAGAAAGATTGCAACAAAATTTGATGAAGCAAAGACAGGGAAATTTATTAAAAGATATGCTTGTCTCTACTCATTACAAATTACGTCAGTAAACTTGCAACATCATGGCAGATAAGAAAAAAATCTCCTTATGGGTTTGTAAATAAAGGTGTTAAACCTTTTTAGCAAGAACACAGTTGTAGAGCGAGAGAGGACATTGTATTGACGCTGTCCATCCAGTAGTTAAGTTCACAAAAGCTTGACTGAATCATTTATTATAGTTGCAACAGTCGCATGTCTCATTGTAAACCAAATTAGAAGGACAATTCTGCGTGTAGGTGATTCCACCAGCACACATATAGAAGGTATGTCGATCATTTTCATTGACGTAATTACCATCAGCCTTGTCTACGCAGAAATTACGGCCAGAAACAGGAGTTTTGGTTGTTTTGGGAGTTTTCCTGGCAGGAGATGCTGTGGTTGTATGAACGCCAGGCTGACCTGAGGTATCGTTGAAAGTAGTCCCTGGAAACATAAAAAGCATTCGATTTTTAAGGCAAGCAAATCAATGCTATTTCGTAGAGGAAGCAGTGACACTGATTGATGTCTGACCTGAATCCAGACGAGAGCGGAGATGTCCAATGAGAGGATAGTTTCCCTGACCACAGAATTGTCCAGAAAAGTCATCCATATCCAGAGACCAGACGAACGCTCCGCCGTAGTTGTTATCTTTCACATACTGTGCCTATAAAATATGATAAAATATTGTTTTTTTGTTTTTGTTTTTTTAAAGAATCCAAATAAAATTGACCAGAACAAAAACAGTTTTATATATTTTAGGTCAAAGGAGGTTGGCTGGGTCAGCCATGAACAGAACAGTGTCATGCAGTTGTGCAATGAGCAATATTCTCTAGACCTGATCAGGAGAAAATGTAACGTTTTCTAGAAATATTTCTTAAATAAAAGAAATAGAAACAAGGAATACGTGCAGTGTGTGAGTTAAAGTCTAATCAGCAGACTTGATGGATATTTTATATGGGAAATTAATTTGTTCCGAATCATTCATTTCCAATGATGCATTAACATGTAAACAATGCAAAGTACTGTATTATTTCAGTTATTTAATTTGATTTTTTTCTGAATTACTTTAGTTTTGTACAGACATTTATCTTTTTATCATTTTTAACTTAAAAAAAACAAAAGCACTAAAGCACTGAAAGTTAATAAAATCAACACTTCCAAGTATATTTATATGAATTTAAAACTTTTCCTTTTTAAATTGTAGAACCCTTAGAAGTTTCTAAATAGTAATTAATGGCTTTCTGTTGTCTACTTCTGTGTAAGACGACCTTTTTTGTCAGGGTATTTATCTCCAAGGGTCTAATTTTGTCCTACCATCACAAAAAGGGAGCAGGACAGAAGGAGTGGTAAGAAACAAACAAATAAAAAAATATACTTTGAAATGAGCAGACATTTCCAAATGGTTTTCTCTCTTTCTTTCTTTTTTTTTGAATGAAATAAAAAAATAGGTATCTGGGATTTAGAGAGATTAAAACAAAATAAAACAAACAAACACTAACAGATCCAAAAGATGGGAAATGATGTCACATCAGAAGTAAGATTTGAACTACTGTAACTATACTGCCATCTTCTGTTCAGTTTTGGTAACAAAAAATGTGTGATTGATCTTTAGCTTTGTTATCATCAGCTGCACAGAATGTTCTGATTCATAGGGCCATTGCACAAACTGGGACGGACAGGGACATGCAGCATTCTTTCCTTATTTGTATTGTAGCTATTATTGTACTCAAAGGATGACATGTTACCTTGATTTCAAAGCTCTGCTTGTTGTCGAATCCCACCCATTCATTGCCTTTGACTGCATAGGGAACCTTTTGTTCCTCAATCCAGTGAGTGGTGGCTCCAGCAAGGAAAGTGCAAACCTGCAGTTACAAGATGATAAACCTAAATATCATCCCAACTTTTTTGTATTTATATTTTTGATTTTGAGTATCTCTTCATGTTTGTCTAAGAATTTTCTTCAGTTTGTGTTTGTAGTATAATGAATTGTTACCTCATAGTAGGACAAAATTCCTGCCTCCCGGGTGTAGGGCCCAGCAGTGCCCGGTCCACTGGCTGATGCTGCAACACCACCAGTTGCTGATGATGTGCGAAATGTGCGACCATAGGCGGGAAAACCAACCAGCAGCTTTTCTAGAGGAGCTCCTTGATCTCTCCAGTATTTCATGGCAAAGTCCTGCATCAAAAAATTACAAAGTTTAACCAAAGAGATAATTACATCAACTTAGATGTCTCAAGCATGGGATTGTTGAAGGTTTTTACTTACAACGTTGTAGTAGACATGTTGACCATGCATGAGAGAGCTGTTGTATAGAGGGCTGTTGTGGCCAGTGAATGAATCCCAGGCTCCATGGAAGTCATAGGTCATGACACTTATAAAGTCTAGATAACTGTTATAAGAACAAAATATGGAAGTGAAACAAATTGTATATATTTCGCCACTGAACATCACAATTTTTATTGCTTTTCATCTGTCAGTTTCTTAATAATGGTAAATATTAAGAATTTGTCAATCTTTGCTCCTGTTTCTATTTCAAAACAAGACAGATGTAACATCTTTAGCTTTAATTCAAATTAACTCACTTGGACACAGCAGCAATCTCATAGCCGCTATCAATAGTTCCCTTTCCAGCCGCCACAGCAGCTGTGAGCAGCAATCTCTGCTTATTGGTCTCAGCGGCTTCCTTCTCAAAGGCAGCAAGTAATTCCTAAATGGAAAAGAACATTGTATGTGTTAAGACTTCATCCAAACTCAGGCAGTTTGGATGAATTGATTCACTATTATTTTATCACAATGAAGTAATGAAGTCTTTGCTCCCGGTCTAGATACATGTAATTATTATTACAAAAACTGGAGAAATTAAATGAGCCACGAAAACAGACACGGCGTCGATTTGTGTTGTGTGAAAATGTCTGACCTGGCAGAGCAACGTGAACCTTTTCTTGTCCTCTGCTGGGCTTCCTCGTGATCCCGGGTATTCCCAGTCCAGATCCAGTCCGTCAAAGCCATGTTGTCTCAGAAATCTGATGGAGGACTGGATGAACACCTGACGGTTGGCCGGAGATGAGACCATGAGGCTGAATCTGTTAATATTCATCAGTTAGTGGTTATTCAATTAAAAGGTTCTGTTAATGATCCATAAAGGAATTCATTCAAAACGGTGTGTTTGCAAGCTGTTATGTTTTGCAGACTCACTGTGTTGTTCCAAAGTTCCACCCACCGACAGCCAGCAGAGTTTTCAGCTGAGGGTTTCTGTTGTGAAGATGTAGGAATATTTACATCACTTATACATGTTGAATAAAATATGCGTTATTTCTGAAAGGAATAAAACAGACATAATCCTACAGTGACCTATATGTAAGCTCAAAAATTTAATCTTAAAAGTTCAAATGGAACGAACATAATCTCTGAAAAAAAATATAAACATACTAAAATGTATAAAAGATTCTTTTGTATTTTATATATTTATATTAGCATGTGTCCAAGAAAGAATGACAGATTGCAAAGCTCATTACCATTTCCACCAGACAGTTTTTTGTGCCCATATATGTGGTCACATAATGTTTTAGATTATTTTTCTGAACCTAAAATGTTTAAAATCCTTGTAATTTTGAGTTACGAATAAACAATTTCCAAATTGTTATCTTTGTTAATAATTTATTGGGAAGTTGAAGCGATACTAAGCTCACCTGTTCTTCAGTGCATTGAAGGATTTATACAGAACTTCATCGTTCCACTCAAACGTAGACAGTTCATTAGAGGAGCTGATGATGGAGAAGGCGTAGATGAGGTGTGTGCAGAGGTTCGGATCTATGTTGTCAGGGGTGTATTTTCCAGCCCCTGGTCTGTACTGGGCCCAGTTGGTAAAGTAGCACACCAGTTTGGTGGAATAGACTATCAGAAAATAAAATAAAAGGATCATTAGAAGGTTTATTTATAAACTCTGACTTAAGTGGAAATTTCAAGATAAAAAATAAATTATTAGTACCAGTCTGAAGACACACCAGAAGTGCCAATCCTGAAAAAGAGTTTAATTAATATTTTTTTCTTAACAACCCTTAGAACATATTAAAATACTAAATAATTGACCTACCAGCCAGGATGGTCAGTCGTGCCATGATGAAGCGTTTTCTTCAGAATATTCTGGACTACAGCACTGTTTAACAGAACAAATCATACAAAGATTATATTAGAAGCTTTGGAAGTCAACCACAAAGGTTTGTATAATAGATAACAGATAGATATAGATAATAATGTCATTGGTACCTTTTCTCAGGTAGCTTGCTGTATGTCTGGCTGCTCCAACTGTTCTCCCTTTTATAGAAGAAATTTGTAAGGAACAAAGTCCACATGAGTGAGTCACTGGTTGAGTCAACATCAGATTTTGGTTTTGTTTGGCTGGTGATGAGCTGATGATTGTTCCCCGTTTATGTTTTATTAGCTGATGAATGTGCATGAGAAGGAAGTGGTAACTTCTCAACTGCAGTTTTATGAGACAGCAAATTTGTTCTATCCTAAATAGGAGCTGGTAAACTGTTTTACAATCTTATGGTACATGATTATCACTCAAACAGTAAAATGACCTTTGTTTTTGTATGCATCAAACAAAGCCTTGATAATTGATAATTGCTTTCAAAAGAAACATAATAAAACATATTAATAAAATAAAACATATTTGACAATTAGGTACTGAAACCAAGATAAAATTTAACTACATGTAATTGTAGTTAAATAACTGGATGAATTTGATTATTTCTGTTTACAAATTGGGTTTGGTTTGCAAAAGTGAAACTCGAACCTCTGTCTTTTCAACTGGCAGACCTGCACACCAGGTCATGTCTGCATGTTTGCAATTAACAATAGTGACCTAGATTTTGTGACATTTCAGACAAAAAAAAAAGATGTTTTTTTTTAATCTTTCTTGGTTTATTATGTCTTCTTTAGTTTCTCTCCTGTTATTACTCTGCCTGCCGTTTCTTGTGTAGTTCTTTTGAAATGTGTGCAAGTAGAGCACGCTATAATAGGCTGGGACTATAGACGTGCATTATTTTTGCCGCTTGTGCGATAAAGAACTGTAGGGGGAACTTATGGGGAAATGCAAACTGATATAATGCCAGATTGATGATAGCAGCATGGCGATTGCACCATGAATATTTCACTGTTACAGGCCACAGTTTTTTACAAGCAGTTTAATGTTTAAACTAGTATTGTTGTGCATCTTTGGTATAAGCTTGACCTTCAAACAGATGCTCCTTTTGTATATATTGCTGTTAGTTCCAACCTGCCATCCTTTGAATAGAAAAACAATGAAAACAGTGAAAATTAAACCAGAAACTCTTGTAAGAAGGGAACGGTTAGCCGTTGTAAATGGCTTCAAAGATAACACAACAGGATCTTTCTCGTCTTTCGGGGTGGTAAAATGTAAATTGGAATCTTGTTTTTCTTGACTTTAAAATAACTTTCAGCTTTCAGTATTCAAGAGTTAAGAAGTACAAAATAATTATTATATAACCACATAATTATAAAAGCATCTTGCTTTCGTAATTATGAAAGCAAGATGCTTTCATAATTATGAATTATTGGGAATTATATATTCATAATTAATCATAATTATGAAAACATCTTTCATAATTATGAAAGCATCTTGCATGTTTCAGTCATTTCCCTCCCCGATTTAGTTAGCTGTGTCTACAATCCAGTAGCCTGCCATGAGCAGTGTGTGAATGGGTGAATGAAGATATAGTGTACAGCAGTTGGGGTCCTCTGAACTTGATAAAGTGCTGTGCAAGTACAGACTATTTAGCATTTAATGTTGCAAACGCAGTTGGTTTTTTTTAAATTATTTTTCATTCTATTTTATATTGTCTGAATCTTAACATCAATAAAGCTGAAATATCTCAGTAAAATAAGCAAAAAAATGACGTTCTTAAAACAAAGTTGTTAAAATTCAAAGTTGTTAAAAACAAATTATTTTAACAATTCATATTTGTTAAAATAAAAATCTTTTAGTAAACAAACTACTTGTAAAAATATAACTGTTTTTTTTTATCTTTCTCTTTTCCTACTTCTGAAATGCAATGCAAAGACATGTAGAATGGTGTTTTTGAGATTGGATTTCTATGACCAGAGGGACGTGTTGATTAAAACTGAATGTAGTTCAGAGTGAAAGCTGCATAGATATATCAGTGAGTATTGATAAGATGTACTTGTCCCAGTAGCGCTAAGACGATGTCACAAAGAAGAGTTGTCAGTGTTCAGGATCCAGTTTCACAAGTCAATGCATAATAGATTCAGAATTTGGGTGTGTCTTTTTCCTTTCTTTTCCAGTTTGACTGGATTTTTAAGTAGTCACAAATTAACTTTGATCATCATAATGTTGTGCAAGAAAAGGTTTGACTTTATTCAGTCAGTATGACTATTAATAAATGCCAAAGATAATGTTTGGCAACTAGGATTGCTGCAAAGTTTGGCTCATGTAACTACCAGAAATGCGACATAAAAATTGTAGCTTTGTCCTTTATTGTGCCACAGTGGGGAAATTAATTTCTAACAGCAGCAACGCTACAGAGCATCGAGGGATGCAGGTGTTCATTTGTCCAATGTTGCTGATTCTATTGTAGCAGTGAAAGAATAAAGTTTAAAGAAGTAGGGCTTGCATATTTTGATTTCTAAATGTATTTGAGCATCAAAAAGGCATGAAACTATGTTAAGTTTAAAATAAAGTTGTCCCTTCTACAGGCCTTCAATTACTTAATTAGTCAAAGGCTAATTAAGTAATTATTAATTAATTACTTTAGCAATTAAGTAATTAAGTAATAATCACTTAATTACTTTAGTAATTAAGTAATAATTACCTAATTATTATTACTTAATTAGTCAAAGACTAATTAAGTAATTGTCCCTAAAAAGACTTAGAAATAAACCTTTAAAAATTTATAATAAAAAGAAATTTCCAAAACTAACAGCAGAATAAAACTTCAGTACAATCAATGAGATTGCTATTTCTTGGCTTTTTGGTTCTAAGTAAATCTTGTTTTAATCCCTTCTGTACCTAATCTTAAGAATATATGATTATCAGAAAATTGTAACGATGGAAAAATGATGTAAGCTGCGTGTGCTGCATTATTGACAAGTTAAAATTATGAGCAGCCAATTGAAAGATGATGTTTGATACCTTTGGGGTGTTAATCATTGCAAATATCAATACTGAATAATCCTGGACAGTGATAGTAGTAACAAGGAAACACAATGATGTTCAAAGTAAACCTTTGTGATTTTAATAATGATTTGATTGTAAAGATTTAAAATGTATTACATTGGTAAAACTGGGACAGTAGATTACAGAGAAGTGCAGTGAGTGAAAAGGAGAAGCCATTTGGGACAGGAAGATATGTGGCAATGGGACAGACAGTAAAAACAGGTTATGATAAGCTGTAACGTGAGCATGAAGAGGAAGTTTATCTAATTTTAGGGTTCATGCACCTCGGTGCAAGGGGAAGGCAACAGCGAGATCTTTCAAAAAATTTGCCGACCAGTTCTAGTGAGCTGCACAAACAAGGGAAAAGATCACAGAACCACAAAAGAGGAACTCCACATTGGGCAAAATGGGGAAACAAGTTAAGCTTCCAGGCAACAAAGCAATAATACAAGATTATTGCTGATCATGACACAGGAACATGACCTCATAAGGACCAAGAATGAGTTAAGATTCTGGTAGAACAAACAGTCACGTACACACAAACTAAAAGGAGATATAAGGACAATCTAAGGAAATAGGCATAATTGTACTTTTCAGAATCTCCTCATCGGCATCGTGAGGAAAGATTGTCAGATCAGGGATGATGATGGCGATGGTGGGAGTTCGTCCTGGACTCTGTGGGTTGCCAGTTAGATCCCTGCTCCTTCTGGCTCTGTTATTGTGTTCTTGGGTAAGACATGCCACTTGGGTGTTGGTGGTGGTCAGAGGGCCTTGCTCTGTCAGTGTGCCACAGGGCAGCTGTGACTACTATTCGGTAGCTTGCCACCATCGATGTGTGAATGTGTGTGTTCTCCTTGTTAAAGCAAGATTGTTCGAACAAAACAATCTCCTTTTGTTAACTAGTCTTCTGTTTAACAAAAAAGAAGACTATTTCTATTTTAGTTTCATCTCAACCATCTCAGAGATCCGCATCTCAAAGTCTTTTTGAATTTGGATTTACTTTTAAATCCAAATTTAGTTTATTCTTGCATTTTCTTTGTGCATGTTTATCTATTTTTCTCAGATGTTTTTTTTTTTTTTATCTTTCTTGGTTTATTATGTCTTCTTTAGTTTCTCTCCTGTTATTACTCTGCCTGCCGTTTCTTGTGTAGTTCTTTTGAAATGTGTGCAAGTAGAGCACGCTATAATAGGCTGGGACTATAGACGTGCATTATTTTTGCCGCTTGTGCGATAAAGAACTGTAGGGGGAACTTATGGGGAAATGCAAACTGATATAATGCCAGATTGATGATAGCAGCATGGCGATTGCACCATGCATATTTCACTGTTACAGGCCACAGTTTTTTACAAGCAGTTCAATGTTTGTTGTGCATCTTTGGTATAAGCTTGACCTTCAAACAGATGCTCCTTTTGTATATATTGCTGTTAGTTCCAACCTGCCATCCTTTGAATAGAAAAGCAACGGAAACAGTGAAAATTAAACCAGAAACTCTTGTAAGAAGGGAACGGTTAGCCGTTGTAAATGGCTTCAAAGATAACACAACAGGATCTTTCTCGTCTTTCGGGGTGGTAAAATGTAAATTGGAATCTTGTTTTTCTTGACTTTAAAATAACTTTCAGCTTTCAGTATTCAAGAGTTAAAAAGCTCCTGAAGACTTCAGCACTTGGGCAACCATGTCATCAATAAGCCTGTGCTCATACCATATCTTCAGCTTATCAAACTCTGGTTTGTAATGTTTCTCAAAGATGTCCTGGAAAATATATTTGAACCTGCCATCGTAAGCTTTCAGAATGGTGTTCTCTGTGCTCATGTACCAAATAATTATTATATAACCACATAATTATGAAAGCATCTTTCTTTCGTAATTATGAAAGCAAGATGCTTTCATAATTATGAATTATTGGGAATTATATATTCCTAATTATTCATAATTATGAAAACATCTTTCATAATTATGAAAGCATCTTGCTTTCATAATTAGTTAGCTGTGTCTACAATCCAATAGCCTGCCATGAGCAGTGTGTGAATGGGTGAATGAAGGTATAGTGTACAGCAGTTGGGGTCCTCTGAACTTGATAAAGTTAATAATTTTTCTTTCTAT